CATCTATAGTCTTTCTAGATCTAAAGTTCTTGTCGGCACTGATTGCGTTGGTGGGCTGTCAGTCTATGTCACATCTTCTGAACGCCGTTCTTTTACAACTCTTCATGTGTTCATCTTTTCTTTCTTCGGTGGAATTGCTCAGTTTCCAGATGTAAACTTGCCCAAATTTGCAGGAAATGCGGCAGACCTATCTTCTCTCTTCGTTTTGTGGCACTTTAAATTTGACATTCGTTAGTTGACTCGAAAGGGTAATTTCAAACGAGCATAACTTTCAAGCCAAGAGGTAAGGGAATTCTTCGTAGTTTCTCTCTCAGGTTGCGTACTTAAAGCGACATATCGGAAATTTACCGTTTTCAATTTTCTTCTGCGTTTCAGCTTGGTTCAGTTTATTTATTGATTAATGGCTTCTTTTATGCGGCGTTTAGAATAAGCAATGTTCCTCGATTTTCTTTTTACTGCTTTCAGTATGTAATTCAGTTCTCTGAATACTACTTTTAGCAGAACTCTGTCTTTGACATCGTTTGACAATGTTTAGCGATGTCTTTCACTACTTCATAAGACGACCACAACTCTTACTACCGCATAGCTCATACTCGGATTTCACGGGTATTGCAACTTCTCTGCTCCTAGATGTACGGGAAACCTACGGTTAACTTTATTCTTCACCCATGCTATGTTATGGTCTGACATTATATGTGAAGACTTTTGTTACCTTAGACGGTCACGGTCTCACAGAACCAAACAAGTTGAGGAGCACTTTGCCGGATCGCCAACAAAGTAGGATATCATACAGAGAAAAATTTTAAAACTACAGAAATTACGTTTGCAGATATGAAATCAACGATTTTGCTTTGGGTAAACGCAGGTTGAAAATTGGCTAAAGCTATATTCAGATTTCCTTTTAATTTAAGGCAGAGAGTAGGACTTTTTTGGACGATGTTTACTTTCCGTGTTTTAACGTCACATCACGGCAGCATTATCCCGGTCAAAAAATCAAATGAATCTGCACCATGCTACGATGAATAGTTAACGTTTGGATACGTGCGACAGAATCAATTATTTCATCAACTATTGGGAAAAAGTTGTCATTTCATAATTTCGTTACACGCTCGATTCTTGTTACCCAATATGCATAACGATTTTTTGATTGACAGACAAATGTTTGACCGGTCTTTATCAACACGTCAGATTTTTCGGACTAAACGAGTTCGCCGGTTAGAAAGCACGGCAGGTGACCCCGCAATGCTCTATTATCCCATTAATCGAACCTGCCAGACTTTTCACAGCTCAACTTTGTGACAAACACGTGATTTTTTCCAAGGAGGATGTTGTCATGGTCATTACGTGGGCTCAATGAATGCATAACATTTGTTGAATGCACGTAGCTTCAGTACAGTATGCCTACATTCCTTGGAGTCAGTGAAGATTCTCATGAATCTGTAATTGAAACAGCTGCCCAACTTGTGACATATTCAGAAACATTCATTCTCCAGGTTTTATATTTTTCATGCTTCAAAGAGGAACTATACCATTTGCTAAGTTGCTTACGTAAAAAAACTGTAGTGAAAAAATTAATAAAGTAATTCGTTATCACCTCCCGTAGTGATAAAGACAAACGCAAATATCAAGCAGCTTAAATGATCATCTTACTAATTCGAATGCTTTCTAGCAAATGCGGTATCGTAACATGTTTGCAAATAAGGAAAATTATCTTTGCCGTAGTAATGTGCTGCTTTGAGCCGCAAACAAAGAGGCACAAAAGAGATAAGAGGTAACAAAAGAGATAAAAAAACGGTTATTATTCGGTCCATCAACGTGTTAATATCACCATTCTCTCCCATTTCAACATTTGATATTGTTAAGCATTACCTAAAGAAATATTTTGATCATCATATCCTGCGATGATGCATAGGTGAGCCAGTTGATTTAGGAACATCTCTAAGCTCCCAGAACTGAAAAAGTACATCCTTTTTTGGTTCCGTTCGCTGCTGCACAATATACTGTTTAGCCTTTGACTAACATGTCTGTTAAAAGTCCTATCTTCCATCGCCGCTTCTCCTTTCGGGTCGCGGAGGCAGACGCGTCAGACAATGCTTCCAACGTTCCCGATCCTGTGCCAGATTCTGAGCTTCGGCAAAAGACAAATGCAGTCTGGAACAGATTCCTTCCATATGTTTGCACCAGGTTAATCT